GTTTTTTCCATACCCTATGCGAAGTTGTTTTTGTTACTAGAGTAAGTTGATATAAAGTACTAGAAAGGAGCTGAGCAATAAGAATGAATACCGCACAAATTTAGAAAAATAGTGTTGAAAATAGGATATAATATGCAGCACACGGCAACCAATTGTAAGTCTCATTCGCACGCGGTCGCGGTGCGGTGTGGACGCATCGTTGCTGAGGGTAACTATGAGGCCTTTATGCGCATATAATTGAGTGAGGTGAATAAGTGAAATATATCAATCTTCTACTTGGAAGATTGAATCTTTTAGTGCATAGCCGTCCAAAAACAATCTCTAATATTACGTCGGGGCATGCTTCGTCATGAAATTCATTTGTAAATGTTGTGTTCCGTCCATAACTTGATCATGACTCAATCCATCCTTTTTCACATAACCTGTACCACCTTTGATCGGTGAAACTGGCTTGCCACATGATCGGAAGCCAATCTGGAATGAAGCAAATTTCTTACAGCATAGGTAACACACATGGGTATAAGATCAACTCGTTTTTCTTGGGGTTTCAGCAGATGCATGATTCATTCGTTCGATTTCTTCGAGTTTCTCGCAAAGCCTGACGCAGCAGTTACTTTTTAAGAATTTTTTCGAAATACACGACCCAGCGTTACCACTCGCTTCCTGAGAGCCTTCTAGACATTGAAGGATGAGCGCTCTCAGGGAGGAGCTCACGGGAGTACCTTAAGAAACTCATGACAGACCTTTTCATCAGCCGTTGAGAAAATGCTGAAGACATAGGTTCCTTCATATCCGGACTGATTGTTGATATCCTGCAGGAAGACGGAATCGCAGTGTAAACCGGTCCTTCTGAAAAAATCCGTCCATCACTTAATCTCGAAAGGGAAGAACATTTCGGACCAACCTGTTACAAGTGCCAACTGGAATAGGCACCAAGCACAGTACACTGCCATGATTCGCTCCAGCGACAGAGACAAATGTGTCGATAATTTCAGTTAGTGGAGGACCTGAAGTAGACATGAGGCTAGGGATGAAGAAAGGACCTCCTTTCTGGACCTCTATGTATGTGTTGAGGTGTAACTTGTGGATACAGCTCAACTACATGCCCACTCAGAAGCGTCTACGACTCCTCGCTTAAATTAAGTGCATGGCGTATATTACTGCAGCTGTTTTTCAGTAAATGATCTGTAACGCTAAGGCTTACCGAGAATCTCTCGCGTGTCCATACAGTTTCCACCAAGAATAGCTTTCCGTGCTATGGGTGCTCCCATCGAGTAGGCCAGCACGTCTACTTGAGTGCCGGTATACTGCCGAACGGCAATGATGAAACTCCTAAAGCAGCGATAGAATGATTTCTTCATGATCATCAATGGTCAATCCATAAACCCGACTGAGATACCCTTGGCTAGCTGCTCCTCGCTTGGGAAATTCGCCCGGGAAATTCTTTTTCGATAAAAGTGATACAACTGACCTTATCTGCTTCACATAGGAACATTTCATATCAACAAGACCAATGGGTGTCGCACCAGCATCACCCCATGTTGTACCGTACACTTCTGAATTACGGTAACCATGTGAATGCAGGAAATGTACCATCGGCTAAAAAGGGAAATTTCCAAAAGGAACTTGAATAAGAACTGAAATACTGGCTGAACTAACCATAAACCGTGTAATTTTATTAGTGATTCCATGAACTATTATGACGGCTTGCTTTTGTGGCTTATCGTCTTCGTTCAGCTGAAATTTGGTTGTGGACAACTGTTACCATTTTTTGGGAATTGTCCAACAAATCACTTTCTCTCTGATCTGATTAGAGTCATGGATTTTGCACTTGAAAAGCTTTTTTTTTGTGGCGAGAATATGGATGGCTTGAGATTGACGGACATCCGTCATTAATCAACCGCGGATGATAAACGGGAAACAGATGTCGTAAGGAAGACAATTGGGTTGTTCAAACCAGTGGTCGTTGGGGTTTTTTTTTGTTGATTCGTTCGAAATTCGACCAGAAAAAACAATCCGTGAGGGTTCCAGGCTCCATTGGAATTACTGTAGGAGGGACCTTTTTTTGAATGTCCTGCGGTCACGTAAAAGTCGTTCCTAGAGAGAAAAGAAATAAAAGCGGTAGCTAGCCTGGTAACTGTTGGGAGATCACCCATTCATACTGCTGGGAGGAAGCTCTTCTGTCCATCCTCATGAGGGTGAGGTGGGTTTTGTAAACTTCTATTGCCAATCCTTCACCGTTAAGTCTTGAAGTATAAAGATGGGAGGCTTGGTTGGCTTGGGCGGACAACGACCCGAGATTCGAGCGCGTAACCATTACCGCTTGTGTGCAGTGCGCCCCTTGCCTTTACACCACTTCCATCAGTCGTGATTCACAGTTCCCTAATGAAGACAGATCATGAGGAACAAGTCTTCTACTGCTAAATATTTTAATAGAACGGGCATATAAGGAACATTGTGGGAGCAGATAAACCTTGGGAGGATGGGAAATTATTGGGAAGAAACCTGAGTTATCATGGCGCGTCTACCTACACCTTGGACAGCCTAGTTACACAGTCTAATCGCCACTATCTGTAGTGTAGAAGGGTGGATATTGATTTTACGCGCGTCAAAGCAACACACATGCACAACTACGAAGTATGAGTCTTTTTGTTTGGAGAATCATAAAAGCAGGCCCAAACACTTGTGCCCTTACCTGACCACCAAATGATGCATCCATACCGAGATCCGTACGTTCCAATGAAGTGGCAATGCTTACACCAAAATTATCATGAATGAATTTTCGAAAATGTGGTGTAAATTCCGCTTGAACGAGCTGAGCAAGCAGCACAATGGATAGCACCACCAGCCGCATAGCTAAAGTTAAATTAGAGTATTCAAAGTTATTGTTGGAAAACTGTAGTATGCATACGGGACGACAATGAATCTGGCAGAAAAGGTACCAAATTCTCACAATCAGAAGAAAACGATCAATACATGGGTTATCGATTACGTAAATGGCTCGACAGATTTTTTGAAAGGTCCAGTTCACTAGTGAGATTAGAGCAATACAGAGGTTTGTAGGATTCACTGTAGGTGAAAGCGACTATTAAGAGATCATCTGGTAGGAAGTGAAGGTGGGAAGAGCGATAGGCATGGGAACCTGTTCGCTGGCTTGAATCACCTATCTCATAAAATACACACAACCTGTAGTAATCCTGATCTGTTTACGATGACTAAGTGGTAAGTATATGGGAAGGTTTGGGGAATGTACGGAAGTTAAAGCTCGAAAAGATGACCCGTAACAGGTTTGGGAGCCTGAATTTTCGGACATGCTTTTTTTTAAAGGATAGTATTATAAGTTTTCATATCTATTTTGGTTGAGTGGAACCAAAAAGAACATCAAAGCGTTACGATTTTGAGTAAGAAGCAAATGTATGGCGTATACTGACAAACATTTGAAAACTGAACGACAACTCAAAGTCATGAAATTACCGAGACGGCAAAGTAACCATGAAGAAAATTGAGTTGTGATAGGTAGGGAATGCGTACGGTATTTGTCAACAAAACTGTTTACTAATAAACGGCAGAAAATGACTGTGATCTAGCGCCACTGATATTTTCTTCATGAACGCCACATTGCCTAGGGAAGGGCCATTTCTTTCAAATTCAAGGCTATCGATGTTGCTGTGGTGGTCATTTTCCAAAAAGCCAGAGGAGACTCAAGGATTTTCCTGGGACAGCTATTCCAGGGTTTTCAGGTTTTCAGGAATGTGGGTTCATACATAGAAACAAGGGACTTCACGTAATCGCTGTAGATGACATTTACGAGCACTGACTTCCCCTTGCCACTGGACCCTGGACGTTGTTTAACGTCCACATTGAGGAAGGTTACTTTGAATTACTTTTTTTGATGGGGGGAGAGGGGATGGACTGGGTCTTCCCCCATTTCTTTTCAAAGAGATTTGAAAAGATTGTGATTTATACTGCTTGCAAGTGGGTAATCTCGTTATGGGCTGGTTTAGCGTTCACCTAATGGAACGTCCTTTTTGTCTCTCTTGAATGTTCTCATAGCAGGAACAAGTTATTTCCGACAGGAATCCTAGCGATTTTCTACTGGGCATTCGAAACTGTCTTTGGAACCTTTCAAGACTGCATTAATGAAATGAGAACATGACAAGACAGCTCTTACGCTTAGCGACCCCATCATCAGTTGTGGATGTACAGGTGGGCGCTCCCTCGGAAGCGATAGGACTGAAACACGGGAATTCGGACAGTTTGAAAAATCTGTAGAAAAATTAGAAGAATAACTCGGGTAAAGCGAATCAACCAGTATATCCCATCATTATCTGAAATAGGAAGAAACCCTCGGAAAGATCGAGATGAGGTAGCGCCGAGTAGCGCCTTTTACTATCACACAGATCTCACTCTGGCATCTGATCCGCGATCGATAACCGCTCAATCCGAGCCCTTCACCCTCCCAGGATCAGTCAATCAATAAAAGCTCATTCGAGGGGTATGACAGCGCAGATTCCTACATCAGAAGTCCTTGCACGGAAGCGTGCAGATTTCGCATTCAAACATCCTCTGTCATTTCAAATGATAGTTAAATGCGAGGCGCATTCCAAAAAAAGAACTAATCTATGTCGATTTTCTGCTTGTAGCAGTATATCAGCGGATATCATACAGTTGAAGGTCACATGGGGAGCCTATGTATAGCGAAAATGGCGACATGGCCTAGCCGGAGCCTAGGTAGGCACGGGCCCAAACAAAAATCTATATGAACAAGAACAGTAAGTTGAAATAAAGAAATTAGAATTGAGAACAGGACAACTAAGGTGGGGAATGGAAGCCCAGATCTGGAAGCTAGGCGATCGCCCATATGGGGTATTGATCCGTTCGACAAGAACCTGATTTTCAATGTATCGTAAAGCCAGCCCCGTCGTACAAACTGGTGGTGTTCCTCGATCATAAGCGATTAGTAGCGAGTGGATTTCAAGGAACAGGTGAGATGATACGGGAGATTTGTCTGATTCGGGCTAGTTTAGCAACGGTCAAATTACGCAGTTGCTAATCCCTACATTTGATGAATTGATAAAGTGCGAAGTCTTCTAGCGTTCATTAATCGGATTTAGCGATTTGTTCCCCCATCGGAGTTCCATACAGAATCACAATAGCGTTTGAATTCGTATGTAACCTATAGAATGACTGACCAGCCGATGTACAGTCAGTGTTTTATACGCCCAGACGGAGGATAACGGAACTTCTTCCCGATTGCGGCATTCTCCCTTGTGGCATGCGGCAAATGTCACTGCAATTACCGTACTCACCCCGCCCCCGCCAATCGATAGGA